GATGAAAAGAAGACGACAAAGTCTGTTGGTTCCAGCAACTTGGGCAACAGCAAGGCAGCCAACACCTTGGGGCCAAAAGCCATGCGGATGTTCTGCTGTGTCTGCTCAGCCAACATCTTATCAGCCAACACCCCAGCAGCGTGAACGATGCCGTTGACATCTTGGGAGTCTTTGCATTTTGCAGCTGTGGCTTTCAAATCAGCGGCTTTGGACACATCACATTTGAGCCATCTCACACGTTCATCAGAAAATTTAGGCTCGCTTCGGGACAAGATTGTCACATGTCCGGCTCCTCGACCCAAAAGCCAGTGCACACAGCTTTCACCAAGAGCGCCGCTGCCGCCAGTGACTACATATCGGCCTCCCTTGCGAATAGCATCTCTTGCGACAGAGCCATCTGGAACCCACTTCTGCAGCCGCGGTGCTTCCAGGACACCATCCACTACACGACAAATAGGATCTTCAGAGATCAGTGGCAGTTTGGTCTCTGCCAGGATGGACCTCACCGATTCCCATGTAGTGGCATTGACATGGACCACCTGACCGACGTTCAGACATAAACAATCACGAACACGGAGTCCGTCCAATTTGCACAAGCACCCTTCCATCTGCATGATTCTACAACATTCCTGAAACTACATAGTTGCACATGTCTAGAGTCTAGATGATATGACAGTTACGCCACGCCTGCACATCCAATGGCTGCTCGCACAAGGCGCTGCGAAGCATGCTGGACACTGCACTGAAGCAAGCCTCTGCGAAGGCACCGTTGCCAGCAACCACAACAAACCAAGTTTCCTTGTTTGCTGCCGCTTGCTGCAAGACACGCAGCATCTCGATAGCTCGAAGCGTCAAGTCCTCTATCTCCTCTTCTTCTGCCTTTGCCTTCCAACAGGGAAGTGCCAAGACATGGCATCCATCGTGATTGGTCATTTTGACAACGTCCTCTCCAATCTCTCCGCGCGAAATGATGAAGCTCTTCGCGCCATAGCTCAGTCGCTGCCAACCGAGTTGGTACAAATCCTGAGGTTGTCTGTGCACACTCAGACTTCTGGCTGCCAAACCGCGGCAAGAGGCCACAACCTTGCCCGTGCTTGTAACCAGAATCGCATCGCCTTTCATCAATCCCTTCTGGACATCAGTCAATCGAACCCATGCCCTCAATCTGGGCGCTTTGCCTTCAATGGGCACCTTTGAAAGACAACAGCTTTCCAAGCTGAATGGCACGCACATCCCAGCGCGATCTTGACCAAGCGCACCAAGCAATTGGAACGCCCCGTCAAGCAAGCTCCAGTGCGGAAATTGCAGCGCGTGCTCCCACGCCTCGACATCTGCAGGCAAGGCCAGCTCGGCCACCGCAATTTTGTCATTGCGACGAGCATCCTGGAGTACACGAAAGCGTGGGCCCATCCGAACACCTTGTGATTCCAAGGAACGGTAGAAGTCTTCCAAGTTCACTTTGGCAAAGCTCAGGTCTTCTTTGCTGGGCAAGTCAAAAGGTGCCTTCGGCAACTCACGGCTGTTTACCACAGACGCTGCTTCAACAACGTCATGGCTCCCACAAAGGACAACAGCTCCAGCATCACGTAGGTTCACCTGAAGTTTTGCATCAGAAATCTTTGCTGGTGCCTTGAAGACCACACTCTTCATCTCTATCGTCTCTGCCGTTCCTCCTTGCACTGCCCTGGCACTGGCAAGCATTGCCAGCAGACTTGAAGCCGGCAGCAGGCGGTCTCCTAGTGGCAGAGTAAGCCCACACGCCCCTAACCCAGAAAGCTAATTTTTCGATTTATATATATATATATAGGCACCTGAACCCAGAATCCAAAAAAACACGCAACAGCTTGCGACATGACTTGCAAACTCATGTATATATACGCGATAACCCTCCTGCAACTTCATGGTCGCTGAAAAGGTGGCAGATGTCGTCAAGCTGCACAGCAAAATCTGACTCTCCATCTCTTCTGAGGAGTGGATTGAGCAACCGCCGCCAAGGTAGGAAAGCTTCGGTTTTGCTACGCTTGCCCTTGGCCCAATTGACTGTGCTGGAGCCTGTGGCGCCAGGCATCAAAAGCGCTTGGGCGTTGCTGCCACCAAAACCAAAAGATGACACTGCCCCGGACAAGGTTGCCGTGCTTTGTCTGAGATCGGCACAGGCTTCGCTCACAATAATGTCGCTGGAGATGTGTTGGTTGAGACACTTCAGATGCAGATTCGGAGGCCCAGCTTTGTTGCGAAGAGTACAAATCAGCTTGAAGAGACCAGCCAAACCAGCTGATCCTTCCAAGTGACCCATGTTTGATTTCACAGCTCCACAAACAGGCTTGCCCGACTTGCCAAAAACAGCCATGGTGGAAGCTGCTTCAAGAGGATCACCAAGCTTAGTTCCAGTACCGTGAAGCTCCACAACATCGACTGTCTGCAAAGAAGCCAAGGCCAAACTTGTTCGAAAGAGGCGCTCCTGCGCCTTCCCATTTGGAGCGGTGAGGCTGGCACTTCGCCCATCATGATTGTTTGCCACACTAAGAATTTCAGCAACCTTGGCATCTGCACTGGGCTGCAAAATAAGAGCTCCTACACCCTCACCTCTACAATATCCATCAGCGGATGCATCAAGGGTCAGGCAGCGGCCAACTTTGGACAGCGCAGTGGTCTTGCAAGCTGCCACGAACATCCCTTCATCAGCAAAGACATGGGTACCTCCGACTACTGCCATTGAGCATCTTTGAAGCCTGAGTGTGTCTGTGGCTTGGCACAAGGCAACCATGCTCGAGGAGCAGGCCGTGTCAACAGCGACACTCGGACCACGCAGATCAAAAACATAGTTGAGCCTGTTTGCGCATATGGAGGGCGAGGCTCCACCAGCAGAATGTGAGGACACATTTCGCCAGCCCTGCCAAGTCATCCAATCGTGGTTGGCCTGCCCGATCCAAACTCCCACATTGTGATCTCGCCAATCGCCCACACCAACCAAGGCAAGCTGCCCCTGCTCCAAGAGCAATCGTTGTTGTGGATCCATTGCCCGTGCTTCAGCTGCTTTGATTCGAAACTCATGATGCGCAAACCATTCAACACCAGTCACGCAGCCTGCATGGGTGGTGTACACGGGGTTCTCAAAGTCATCAAACGCGCAGTCATAGCCCTCGAGATCCAAACGCGAGGATGGGATTTTGCGCACTGCGTCCACTCCTTCAAACATGTCAAAGCTCCCCCCGAGGCACGGGAAGCGGCAACTCATTGAAGCGATTCTGAAGGTTTCCTGAGTCGCAGGTGTTCTCAAGGGAGGATGAGAGGAGTTCTCGGGCATATGGTGTTCGGTTCTCCATGCAGCAATTTCATGAGCAAGTCGCTCGCCAGCGTCGCCAAACATGAACTCAAAATGATCTGCCTCGGTGCGAACGCTTGAGATCCTCTGGAACACCTGTTGCAGCCGTTGCATCACTTCGTGGTCGCGTTGAAATCCTGCAGATGCTTTTTGTTTCACCTCTGATTCATAGCTCTCCTTGACCTGCGCTACTACATGGAGGCAAGGCAAGGAAACCTCAGGAAGGCCCAGGTTTGCAGAGATTTCTTCATACCACAAGGGATCTCGGCCGAGGGCCACAGCCGCCTTCTGTAAGTTGCGTGGGTCCAAGAGGACGACCGCCTCAGCCTTGGGAGCCCACCCATGATGCAGCAGCTCAAGCGCAACAGTGGCGCCAAAAGATAGCCCGCCTGGTCCGCAGTTGGCGTTGAAGGCGTGTGGCGCCAAAAGAGAATCGGTTCAAAACCCTAGCTTCCGGGCGTTTCAATATGTTTTGATACAAATCCAAAGCTCAATGACAACAAAAACATCGTGTTTTTGGTCCTCTTGCCTAGCATGAGAGGCTCTGTGAGTTCTTCCGTCAGCTTCTGCAAGGCAGGTCCCAAAGCTGTCAAGATCAATTTCATGTCCTTCACCCGCCGTGGAGGCATGGCAGCAAAGACCTTGCCTCTCCAGTGTTTCGCCAGGTCACCGAACGAGCTCTCCACTTTGCCCATGGCGCCTCCGACCAAGAACAAGGCCCTTGTGCCTCTCTGCAGAGACGGAAGGCCCTCGTCTGAACTGATTTGGTTGGCACTTTCAAGCTGAATCCAAGGGCTCGGACAGCCGTCGGAGAGCTTGGCAATGTGTCGCGACAGCTCCACGATCGTGGTGTGTTCAAAGATCAGGGTCTGAGGAAGAGACAAATCGAACTCGTTCTTCAACAAAGTGCTCAGCTCACCCACGCTCAAGGAGGGAATCACCTCTGCAAGTGGCGTGTCGTCTGATACCTGGTTTCCAGCCTCTGCGACGCTACACACAATGGCTCGCACGCGGTCCATAATGTTCTGGTCGGACAGCGTCAGCTGTGTGTTCGTGTTTCTTTCTCTTGCTTTGGCAGCTGGACTTGTACCTTCTGTTGGAGAGCTGGACCGTATGGCGCAAACAGGCCCACGGACCCCGGCGGACAAAAGCTGCTCCAAAACCAGGAGACCTAATCTTCGAGAAAAGGCTCCCATGCCACGCTGCGCAGCCGCACCTAAAGCACCAGATTCCTTCGCCATGCCTACCTGCCACGGACCCCACTGGATGCTTATCACACAAGTCTTCATGGGCAGGCAAGAGCTATATCCATCAAGGGCTGCGTTTGCTGCCGAATAAGGCACCTGACCAGGGTTCCTTTCCACCGCAGCAACCGATGAGAAGAGGACGACAAAGTCTGTTGGTTCCAGCAACTTGGGCAACAGCAAGGCAGCCAACACCTTGGGGCCAAAGGCCTTGCGGATGTTCTGCTCCGTCTGCTCAGCCAACATCTTATCAGCCAACACCCCAGCAGCGTGAATGATGCCGTTGACATCTTGGGAGTCTTTGCATTTTGCAGCTGTGGCTTTCAAATCAGCGGCTTTGGACACATCACATTTGAGCCATCTCACACGTTCATCAGAAAACTCAGGCTCGCTTCGAGACAAGATCGTCACATGTCCAGCTCCTCGACCCAAAAGCCATTGCACACAGCTTTCACCAAGAGCACCGCTGCCGCCAGTGACTACATATCGGCCCCCCGTGCAAATAGCAGCTCTTGTCACAGAGCTGTCCGGAATCCACTTCTGCAGCCGCGGTGCTTCCAGCACACCATCCACTACACGACAAACAGGATCTTCAGAGATCAGTGGCAGTTTCGTCTCTGCCAGGATGGACCTCACCGATTCCCATGTAGTGGCATAGACACGGACCACCTGACAGAGACACGGAGTCCGATTTGCACAAGCTTCGGTCCACATGATTCTACAGGACTCTAGAACTGCATAGGCGCACGTGTCTCAAGTCTAGATGACATGACAGTTATATGCCACGCCTGCACATCCAATGGCTGCTCGCCCAAGGCACTGCGAAGCATGCTGGACACTGCGGTGAAGCAAGCCTCAGCAAAGGCCCCATCGCCAGCAACCACCACAAACCAAGTTTCCTTGTTTGCTGCCGCTTGCTGCAAGATACGCAGCATCTCGATAGCTCGAAGCATCAAGTCCTCTATCTCCTCTTCTTCTGCCTTTGTCGTCCAACAGGGAAGTGCCAAGATACGGCGCTCCTCCTCACTGCTTTGATCACGCAACATGCCAGTGAGTAGTAAGGGTTACTTACTAACGCAAGATACAAATGGTTTCATAAAAGATTAAAATGAGTCGAATCAAACCACACAGGACTCTATTGCGAAACCCTTTGTTGAGGTTCCGACCTCGTTGTAAGATCTGGTGAGTCCAAGCTCTTCCTATTCTGTGTGTATGTGCTTTGGGGTTCCAATCTCGTAAGCTCCTACCCTCTGTTCATGGTTTGCTTGTTCCAATGCAACGAAATCTTTGTAAGATCTTACGATTCTTACACTCTGTGGATGGTTATATTTGTTCGAACGCTCTGATCTCGTGATACTAACTTAGCCTCTGCAAATGCTTTGCTTGTTCAAATGCTCTGAGGTCGTTGTAAGATCTTAGACGTTGTACGAGTAACTTGTTCAGATGTTCTGATGTCGCTGTAAGATCGTAGAAGTTGTAAATGGTTTGCTTGTTCAAATGCGACCTTGTTGCTTGCTCAAGTGCTCCAATCTCGTTATAAGAGCCTTACACTCCGAAAATGGTTCGCACGCTCAAATGTTCCGATCTCGCTATGAGACCTTCCACTCAGTAAAATATTTGGTGTTCAAACGCTCCGACCTTACACTCTGTAAATGATTTATACTCCAAGCTTGTGAGATCTGGCGCTCTGAAAGCGCTTTTTTTGTTCAACGGTGCGGGTCTCGTTGCAAGATCTTGTGATCTGTAAATATGGTGTGATTGTTCGAATGCTCCAATCTCGTTGTAAGATCTCAGGCTTTGCAAATGGTTTGCTTAACTGCTCCGATCTCGTTGTGAGATCCTTACACTCTGTAAATGGGTGGCTGCTTCAAAGGCTGAGATCTTGTTGTAAGATCTTAGGCTTGGCAAATATATGGTTCAATATAAATATTATGTAGTTTGCTTGGCGCGCCGCAACTTACTCGGGGAGCGCTCAAAAGAATGATTTGCTTGCCGGAAAGGTGCGTAGCGGGTCACAACTGCAAGTCAAACACCGAAACAAAAAATTCTACAAAGGAGGCAAGCAAGCGTCCGGCAGTGTGAGAATCTGCACGCCATCGGCTTGGAAATTGTCCTGAAAGTCCAGCGGTGGCCGCACCCCCTGCAATGTCATCCATTCAGCACGCTGAAGCAAACATTCGCGCGGAAGCGGTGCGGATGGTGCCGGGAAAAATGCCCTGCTGTCAACCAGAGTCTTGGAAACATTGGAAAACATTTCGACTCTCGCGTCGCTTTGCGCCGCTTGCACGAGGGCAAAGGCATTGCTGCCACCAAACCCAAAGGAAGACACGCTAAAGATGCGCTTGCTCTCACCAGCAGCGCAGTTCGTTGAGATGGAAGGGGAGACATAGGGCATGCTCTCTAAAACTGGCTTTGCGTCTTTTGCAAGCCGAACCTCTGGGTTGAGCTGGCGCAAATGCAGATTTGGAGTTGCAATGTGCCCGACTTGCCCACACAGCGCAACTTGTTTCAGCAGACCTGCTATGCCTGCAGAGCCCTCCAAATGCCCAACGTTGGTCTTCAAAGCCTGCAGAACGATGGACTCACCAAATCGTGCGCGGATCGCTTCCAACTCTAGAGGATCTCCCAACGGCGTCCCAGTACCATGAAGTTCATGGACAAGAACGTGGCATCCTTTCACTTTAGCAGCACCCAAGCCTTTGTCTATCAAAGCCTTTTGCGCTTCACAACGAGGCTTCGTCAAACCAGCACTGGCGCCATTCTGATTGGAGCTTGTGCCCAGTAGGCATGGTTTTGGCAGCGGTCGTCGCGACAGGAAAAGAGCTGCCACTCCTTCTCCACGAACGAAGCCATCGGCACTTTCATCAAAGGTGGCACAGCGGCCGGACGGCGACAACATTCGAACCTTGCACGCATGAAGGTACATGTCTGGCGTGAGCAGAACGTGAACTCCCAACACCAAGGCTTCTCCTCCTCTTTGCCGCGCCACATCAACTGCAACGAGGCTTGCTGAACACGCTGTGTCTACAACAAGGCTCGGGCCCCTTAGATCATGGACAAAACTGATTCGGTTGGCTGTGATGGAGGGCGCGACCCCAGTGCTTCCATATGGAGCTGGGGCTTCAGTAGCGACCATGCGGTCGTAGTTCATCTGACCAACATAGACTCCGATATCAGAGGACTGTCGATCACTGCCTGCTTTCCATAGGGCATGGGCGCCTGCTTCCAAAGCCAGCCGCTGCTGCGGATCCATGGACGAAGCTTCATCCCAGGCAATGTTGAAGAACTTGTGATCAAAGCGTTCCACTGCAGACACAAAGGCTCCATGTTTCGCATAAGTCCCCATCGCCGGCTCATCTGCTCCATATTCCTCCACGTCAAAGCGGGTCAACGGAATGCGTGCGACACAATTGACACCGTTCGCAAGCTGATCCAGTCTGCATGGCAGGCGAGATGCAACCGCGCTGACAGCTAGAGGCTCAGAGGACCCTGGCTGAGTTAGCTCTTCAGTCTCTCTCGAGCTCAAGCTGGGAGCATCGGTGGACTCTCCAAAAAAATGTTTCGCCATCTGTGCAATGGTTGGATGGTCAAAAACCGCATGCGATGGTATCTGCACTTTCAACTTGGTTCTAACCTTGCGTTGGAAGATCAGCATTCGGATTGAATTCATTCCGTGTTCAACCAAGTTGTCGCGCAGTCTCAGATCAACTTTCAACACATTCTTCGCCACTTCCAGAAGTATGTCCTCTGAGGCAGTAGGAATGCCAGGCTTCAGAATCCGCGAGGTGGAATGACCTGGCAGATCCTTGGCACCGTTGATGCGAAGCAGTTTCTCTCTCAGAACCTTACCATTCCCACTCATCGGAATCTCTGCTATGAAGGTCCAAGTGGTCGGCCACATGTGCCTGACACCCACGAGCCACTCAAGAGCCTAGCCTCCTAGCCACGCCCCAAACATGCATAAACATGCAAAAGGGCATCCAAGACATTCAATGCACTTCCAAAGGCGGAAGACACACAAAGTCCAGAAAAAGTCCCACAATCCAGCAAAAACGTACAGCCAAACAGCTTCCCGTGAGAAGTGTTCTATAGGATTCTAGGGTGGCACATGTGGCGGAAGCAACCAGATTCATGTTCGACCCTTCCATGCCTGGGTAAAGAATCTTCAACATACTGTTTGACCACATCTCTTGTGGTCTGCTTCTGCTCATCTGCCTGCTTCAAGTATAGAAAGCCTCTCAGCTCTACACCTAAGCCCTCTCTCTTGGCGGCCACAAAGGCACGCTCTCCATTCTCGCTCAACTTCTCCTCTGCTTTCCGCTCAATCTCCACCAGCTCCACGCGAAAGCCATTCACCTTCACTTGGTCGTCCTTCCGGCCCAAAATCCGGATCTCTCTGTTCGGAAGGTACTGGCCCTCGTCCCCCGTGCGGTAGAGTCGCCCCAAGGCACGATGGTCCTGAAACCTGGTTCGAAGCGGTCAACGCGCCAAGCGGTCGCCCCGAATCGTCCAAAAAGCGAAAAGACGTCCAAAAAGCGAAAAGACACCTGTTTGTTGGGGGCGCTCAAATCAACTCTGAGCAGCGAATTGGCCGTCTTCTCCTTGTCATTCAGATACTCCTTTGCAAGGCCCTGACCTCCAATGTAAATCTCCCCCACTACGTGTGGTGGGCAAACGCGCATGTGCCTGTCCAAAACGTATATACTTTGGTTCTCAAGCGCCTTACCATAAGGCACCAGCGGCAAATCAGGCGAGTCTTCTCGAAACTCATGGAAATTGCTCCAAATAGAGGCTTCTGTCGCCCCGCCAAGGGCAATGAAGCGTGTCTGAGGGAAGCACTGCAGCACCTCGGGGATCGGGCAATTTCCAGCGGTGAACCTGCAATGACTACAGTCTACAGTAAACTGAAACATGAACTTGGAAAACGACATGACATCTATGATACTGATGTCTTCTAACGCGCAAACATGTGCAGACATTCATCGTCTCGCAGGCCGCTTCGGCCTTCCGTGCGAAGCTCGTGTGGATGCTGTCGCCGCTGATCAATGCAACCCGGATGGGAAGGTAGTCCTTCTCATTCCACTCGTGCAGGAGCAGCCGAAAGCGTTGCGGCACAGAGTTCCAAATCGTCACATGTTGTTCCTGCACGATCTTCCGGAGGTCTCTATAATTGCTCAGTTGATCTGGCCAGCACATCACCAGACTTGCCCCTGCTGCCAATGTACCAAAAATGTCATAGACTGACAAGTCGAAGTTTAGATTCGATAAAGCCAGAACCTCGAAAGGAACATGCGCAAAACCATCCCTTCATCACACGAGTTGATGGACCTTTCCGGGCAAACAAAGAGCCCCGCTTCTTTAGCTTCTTTGCGACACAACCAGAGGTTTAGATAGAGTCAACTGGTTCCTGTTAGAGTCAAGAAGCGTTGTCGTCCTTGCTCATATGCACAAGAGTGTTGATACTGATGCAGGTGTTTGCAGCAGACTCGTGAGAAATCACCACGCCCTTCGGCGCCCCTGTGGAACCGGAAGTGAAGATGATGTACGCTGCGTCCGAGGGCGTCGGTTGTTGAAAGCCTTCCAAGCCTTCCTCTTCTCTCTCAAGCAAACTTTTCGTGACCTGTAAGCAGCTGACCTCTTTGCTTTCCAACTCACTCTGAAGCCGGTCATTCGAGATCAGCACCACGGAGCAACGGGCTTGATCCAAGACCTGGTCCCTGCGAGGATCACTGATTTCCAAGGGCACATAGGCGCAAGCAGCTTTGAGCACTGCCAAACATGCCACAACCTGCTCCCAGCCTTTGGCCATGAGAATTGCCACTCGTGAACCAGCCGGGCATGGCTTGCCCAAATCGTTGGCTAAAATGCGTACGGCTTTGCGCAAGTCGCTGTAGGTAAGCTTCAGCTCTGGGCAAATCAATGCAATAGCTGAACCTGCACCGACCTAGGGCCGCAGGGCAGCAGTCGGCCGCAGTCCGGAAGTTGGAAGGTGACAACCAATGTGACAATGACTAAATTGTGGCATTCAATGCCAAAATGAAAAAGAATGCCAGGAGAAGAGGCTGGAAACGGGAATTGACAAAGAAACATTGCGAACAAAACAAATCACGAGGGAAAAGAAGAAATACAGGAGATAGAACTAAATAGACATGCCAAAAAAGGAATTCTGCCCCAACGCCTCAAGCGCAAGTTCATGAAGCAGATGATGGCGTTCGCACTCATTCTTGCATTGATCCGGAGGAGATGGCGCCTTCTCCAAAAGCCCCTGCACAAGCGAAAGCGCGGCAAAAATGCTTGCAGTAGACTTCTCAAATTCTTGAAACACAAGGAAAGCAATGTAACGCCAAGATTGAAACACCAGGCCGCACCTCTTCAAAGGAACTCATCACCTCCTGCACCACATCTTCAGTAAGCCAACGCTCATCGTAGTCAAAGTTCCACCGGAGCTCGCCGCTCGCTTCGTAGACCTGCCAAGCGCAAAACCGGACCCCACCACCCGACGCTCCGATCCTCGCCCAGGTGGTTTTGGGCTGCAACTCATTTTTTGCGCGAAGCTGCAGCGTATGGCTGTCGCCATCGCTGGTTCGACCGTCGACCCATCCAACAATACTGAAAACCTACGAGAAACCAGCGAGGCCATCCCGCCTGCACATCAAGGCGGACCGTGGGAGTCTGAGTTTGTTGGAAGTCTATGATCGGAACCTCTTCACCGATACCAATCGGTTCCAGCACCTCCAATAGCGATGTGAAGACCACTGGCAAAGTTACCTCACAGGGCAAGAGATGCTTTCCGATTGCATACCAACTACAACAAGTTCTGCTGTCGTAGGTTCTGCTTGCACATCGTAATTTGGCAATTCCTGCGTATTGCTGCAAGAATGGCTTCCGATTTGGGTTTCCGCTCGTGCGTTGACTTTCGAGTTCATGGTTTGCAGGTGAAAAAAAAACCGCCACCTCCTCCTGGCGGACCTGACGCCACAGTCGCATGATCTGCAGTCCAGTGGGCTGGTCCAAATCAATCTGCTGGAAGATCTGTTTCTGAAGGTCATTTGCGCGAGACTCTCGCGACTCTGTCAAATCCTTCAAATCGCTGTGTAGAAGTGCTACATTGGTGAACTCTCCAAGACAATCTTGAAGTTCAGGAGGTCTCCTAGTCACCGTGGCGGTCAAGGTGAAACTGCTGTCAGTACAGCTGCGATCAAGTGCATCCTGGAAGTATGTCAGAAGGAAAGCTGTTGGTTGCACCTTCCATTCACGAGCCTTTGCCTTCAGCCTCTCCCACGCACTCGCGTCCAAGCGTGCTGAGAGTCGGCCGAAGGACTTCGCTTGTCCTGCACCCTGGCGATTGCACCAAGGCAACTGAGGTCCAAACGGAAGGCGTTTCAGCCGAGCCACCCATGTCTCTTTCTTCGACGTCCAACGGCACCTCCGGCTCCATGCAGAAGCCGAAGAACTTGGATTCCAGGCATGGAGCAGTTGATGCGACATCATGCGATGGATCCAACTGGTACTCAGTGTACTCTTTAGCCACCTTTCGCAAGACCAGCATCCAGCTCCTTGCATCCAGGAAGGTCATATCCCCCACCAAATGCAACCGAACCGCTTCGGCTCGGCCCTCCGAGGCGCCCAAGGCCCAGAAGCGATCCTTGGGCAATGGACGATGCCAACGGCTCCTAGCCACGGCGGCATCCTCCATGCAGTCCAACTGAAAGCTGCAGTCAGCTCCGATCTCCTGAAGTCCAAGAATTGCTTCTAATAAACAAGGAGACTGCAAGCTGAACTAAATACAGGCTGAAGCAAACAACTAGACTCTAGAACAACTAGACTAGAACAAAAGAGTTGGGCTTGTGAACAACTGGACTCTAGACTGGAGACTTCAGTCCTGCTTGTCCCCAACGAACCTTGCTCGTAACAAAGGTTCAGATCGCAGCACACAGCGCACTGCGCACTCCAACTTGGCAAGGTCAAGCTGGTGGAAAATCATCTGTTCAGGGTACGCCGGGTACGCGGCATCACTTGCGATCGTTTCTGCAACCCAAAAAAGATTCGTCACCCGCATCTACCAACCTAGATTTCAATAGATCCATGTCAGTCGCGGATCGATCCGAACGCCGTGTGTTCCGCGCTATTCTCGGAAGGGCTTGAAAGAGGCCAAATTGGCGGTATTTCCGAGCGCTTTTCTTGGACCCGCCTCAGTGTAGATCTGACAAGGTCCCAACGTGGCATCTTGTCGACCAATCACGTAGGATTGCTGCATCGGCAACAGTGGAGCTGAGGAAGTTTGGAGATGACCGTTTCGAAGAGGATCACTGAAAATGACTTCGTCACGCCGAAAGGACTGGTAGAGCTCGAGGATGTCATTGAGCGTCCAATCTGAAAGCTCGATGAGTTCGGGGACAGAGCTCGTGTTCGTAGCCTTGCAAAGCCCAGCGCGCACAAGCACCCAGCTGCGGGAACTGGCACACTGACCCAAAGACTCGGAAAGCAATGTCCGCAACTCCTCTTGCGGCTTGTCAAGACACCTGCTCAACCAATCCATGATTCAAAAAGGTCTGGAATTTTGAGCCCAAAAAAATCTTCTGCAATCGCCGAGCCCGTCGCTGCCTGGGTCTTGCGGTCTTGACTACACATGACGACCTGTAGTTCTTGTCGACTCTCGCGCATTTCTTGGCTTTCGTAGCCGTTTTCACGCACGGGCGAACGTCACAAACCTACACTGCCCCAAACACCTTCGGTGTGGGGGGACGCACGTCCGATCGCTTCCGTCGGACGCGAAGCCCATCGACGCTTGGAGAGAAAGAGGAGCGGAAGTGAACGTAGAGGAGCGGGAACCGGCCTCCGTCATTGGTATCTACGCAGCACAAATATCACTGTGACTTGTTCAGCAATGCTCCGAAGACTCTGAACCCAAACAGACGGGAAATCCCATCACACCCTGCGTCGCTGAAAAAAAAGTAGGGCGCTGTGAATCGACCACGCATCGCGAACGCACGCGGAATCGAACACGCATAAGCTGTCCTGCGCGGGCTTTCATTTTTGTGTTGGGACGGAGTGTTGCCAAAGTGGTCAATGATAAAGAATTGCGCAAATCTGCTCGCTCTGCAAAATAGAGAATACACGCATGGTATTCCATTGATCGCAGCGGCTCAAGGTTGTAGTTGTTTATGTGTTTGTTTGCTCCGCCGGCTGTCTACGTATGCAAAATTTGAGTACATACAAGAGTTGGGGAACCATGGCAGGTCGAGCGAATCAAACAGCCATGTGGTACGCTCGACAGAGAAACGCCAAGTTCACGGACTTGCGATGAAGCATTTCTTTACTGTGGACCACATCAGCAAAGGCAGACAGAGTTTTGCAAAACAGCGCAAATCACGGACTGCGCGCATAAAGACATCACATGGTTTTTCGAGTTTGGGGTGAAAGTATTCTGTGCGCCAGCTGCTTGCTGTTTGATGGCAATATACAAAGCTATGAGGAACAATGACCACTGGGGAAGATTGAAACATTGGGTCGGAGAGGGTTCGATTGCATCGGAAGATAAAACAAACACGATGCAAGAAACAACTACGTCTTTTCCAATTATTGAAAGGTGATCAGGTGTGCAAAATGTGCTCACTTGACTGACATGTCTCACTTGCGCTTAAATGAAAATGAGCTTAGAAAATCAGCGGTGGCTTTGGCTTTTGCCCGAACTTCACTCAGTTCCGGTTCCAGCAAACGCTTCCATGGCCTGCGCCTAAAATTTCTCGAGCTTGTAGCGATGCCTGTGCCAGCCAAAGCAGCTCTTGGCGTGGAAGGCAAAAGAGAAAAGCAATTAGGAGCGATCGGACGCTACGAATGCTCCTGGCCTTACGACGAACGTCACGAAGGGCATCGGAGTCCGAACGGAACATCCATGTTGGGCCTCGCGACTCGGGTCCCGAGCGATCGGAATCGGAAGAAATCGCTACCCCGAGCAGCCCCGAGCAACGGACCGCGGAGACACGGCATCGCGGTGGAAACCGCGCAAGGCAGTTTGGGCCAGTGTTCTCTTCGCGTTTGGTCTTTCTGATTCTTGTTTGGTGAAAACCGTGTCTGTGTTGATTCGATGTGCACCAAGCGAGTTCAACTTAGGGCTGGACTGGCCTCTCCCCAGAGCAGCGATTGAAGTGGCAAGCAGTGGCCTTTGTCAATCTTGGACAGCTTCTGCCGATGGACGCTGCATGTCTTTCATGTGGTTTCTTTGCACATTGGTTTCTACAGTATGTCACATGTTGATCAGTATGTCACGTCGTTTTCACGCACAAACGGCCCCGAAAGCCCCAGAGACGGCCGATTCCGCCACAGCGGGGGCAAACCAGGTTCCCTTACGCGCTCCCCCTTACTTCGGCCGGGGTCGGCGGATATACATATATTTATGCACAAGATGTACGTGGGCAACTCGTATCAGATTGGCAGTATGCAGATCTCATCCCCACCCCCACCATTGATTTTTTGCCACCCCCCGCACAACCCACGGACTTTACATCACCTATTGGAGGGACGCCTCGCAGCGCGCGTTCCAAGACTCCACCACGCTCGCTCACCCCGCAGCGCGCCCGCAACAAGCAACCAGATCCCCGATCTGGCTCTCCTGCCCCCAAAGCCAGCCGGGCAGTTTTCCTCCCTCCACAGCAGTCCCCACCGACCTCTCAAGCTCCACCCAAACGACCACCACCAACACTCTATCAACCACAATGAGCGTTCCACCCAGCCAACCAACCTGCCACGCCGCCTCCGGGCTGGTGGCCCGCGCCCTACCCCATCACATCAGCCATCCACCTTCCCACA